ATTCATGGCAAGATTTATTAACGTACTGGATGCATAATCCTAAATTGCACCGCAAGAAAACACGGTCACTTTTCTCAAGTTTACTTGTAATAAAAAATCATGTATTCGTCATTTTCTACAAATAAAGAGGTTAGTTTATCATTATAACCATTTATCAAATTAAATTTCTTGTTTTTTTTTTTAATTTGACTATAGGCCAGAACATCTTTAAAAAAGTTTGCTTCCCCTTTTCCAACGCAGAATAAAAATAAAATTGAGTAGGTAGGTAAGGAAAAACAATTTATTCAAAAGCACATGCGAATATAAAGTTAAAATAGTTATTAATAGGCGAAAAAAAGTTTTGAGTAGGGATGGTTAAGTCAGTCGGCTGGGAGAGGGCAAATGAACATTTTTTTTTTAAAGATGGCCTCATAGAATTAATTCAAACCTTCCACAGCGGGTCATAGAATATCCATCCTAGATAAATTCCCTTCAATCTACAAAAAGGGATTTAAAAATCAAGACTCCGCTTCTCCGTGATATTTGGTCATTTTTCAAAATTTATTTATCTGCAAGAACCATAAAAGTTGAAGTCATGCATATGCACTTACTGTGGAATAGAATATGGAATAGAATATGGAATAGAATCTTCATTATAGACATTATATTTAGGTCTTGAGACCAACAAAATCTTTTTTGCTGATAAAGCAGGAGTCATTTTTTTCGACAGCTTTGACAAAGTATATCAAATTGAATCTTGCTTCTGGAACTTTTGAATAACATCACACATTCTATTTCAGTAGATCTGTTAGGCCTTCAACATATTTTTGATTTGTACCTATAATCCGTACTAAAATTTGAATTTAGACCTATTAGCGGCAGTCAGAGCCATTGAGCAGTACGGGTTCTTTATTGTGCCAACGCCTTCCGTGACACGGGACTTCGGTTTTTAAGGTTTCATCCGAAAGACCCGTGACTTTCACTTCTAGATGCTTGGCGAAGGAACAGTCACTTCCTATGTTAACGTCAAAGGTTTGACGCGACGCGGCGAACAGGAATGGAAACCGGGCCTCCCGATCACGAAGCGAGCGCCCTACCACTAGGCTACCGTGACCGATCTTGTGTTTGAAGGTGTGAAAAAATATCAATAAATCGCTGATTTATGAGATACCGTTTCAAGTATCCCTAAAAAAATATTGTAATGCTCATATAAATGTTTCTTATATTGTTGTACACAAAAGGAATAGTTTTACTCTACCTGTCATGACGAGATTAGAATGAATGGGAAACGGACTATATTCATGATACATAACTTTCTCTTACAGTTGTTGAGAAGAAGTAAATATAATGTCATGTTTTGGTGCATCATTGTGCTTCTTCTATAAAGCTATATATTTCTATAATTAAATGCAAGGATTAACTATCTTATTCATTTTACTAAGCACGAAGAAGAAAGACTATGTATAAAATTTTATCCAGATTGAAATTTAGAAGGGGATAGATTTCACTTTATATCTTTATCAAAAATTAACAATTTAACTTATAAAGTATAGTACATGGTCGGTATCAAGTGAAAAATAAGTTTACTATGAAATATGGAGATAATGAACGGTATTAAAGCTCAAAGTCCATTAAAACAATACAAATAGGGGGCAGAGCAAACATGGACCTCATAAAACATCAGAGGTGGTATCATGTGCCATGGAGGAGTGAGCATTCCCTGCCAACCGGTCATACACGCCGTGTGCTCCTTGTCATGATCGGTAAATAACGGAAGAATCCGTCGACAATTCAGGGTGTAAATAATATCCTAACAATTAGTATGAAAAACGTCAGTCAGCATATGACTTAATGATAGATTGTATTTGCTGACAAGGTCATTATATCGACCACAGAACCTACAAAATGATGACTTTAAACGAGATTGTTGATATTCTTGTTTCATCAACTTGTTTGTCAATAGCTTGCCTCGTTTTAGAAATTGTCCATACGTAGAGCATGCTCTTGCGTATCGAATCAACTGAGAGATATACACCCCATGTCATCACGTTTATCATAAAGCTTTGTTGTTAGATTACCATTAACGTCTTTTTTAGTAAAATATCCAAATATGAAACAAATGTGTCAGACACTGAAGTATATTTTATTTCAAGCTTACTGGGATATATCGTGTCGACTTATCAATGGAAATAACTAGTGTTAATTGATAATACGTCGTCAAGATATCTAAATGTCGAGTTGAAGGCCACAGCAAGAATAGGTCCGCTAATATGTGCTGAATTTGAAACGCTATAAATTGAAAAAAAAACTTAAAAAGAATCAGCTACCTCGGACCAGCTGTAAACAACTTCCGAGATATTGTTCTTTACATCAAACCACAGCGGTAGCTGAAAGGCCTAAATTCTTGATCATCATGTCATGAAGCAAACGGACCACTAATTTTCTAGATGATGCTCTGTCTTAAGTGAGGCATTAAAATTTTCTTCCACGTGAAACCCTTTATATGCTTTACTGAAAAGTGATAAAACTTCTTAATCCAAAACAAGAATGAACAATTTCAATGTTTTTTTTTATTTTATTTTTCGCTCACGATTAGTAGCCTGGTCGTGGTCAGATAAGTCCGGAAAAAAAATCAGGGGTAGAAGCGTGTATGAATTTAAGTCTTTTTTTCTTTGTAAATCTTTTTCGAAGCAGACTTCTTTAAGAAACAATTCTTGTGTCGAAGCATGTGTGACGGTACATATTGTCGTTTTGTACATATTATCGTCGGCGACAATATGTATATACCCTCATTGCACATATTGTCGTCCATCGGTACAAATTGTCGCTGGCTGAAAAGTTACATATGCACATATTGTCGCTGGCGACATTATGTGCCTCACCCTCACTGTACATATTGTCGTCCCACAGATATTGTTGCTTAAACATTTCTTTTGTTGTGTTTTGATAGTTTTGTGAATGTAATTGGTGTACTGTGTGAATCACACTGACCTGTCTCGTTTGCTATTTCATGCAGCCTGATTGTGACGGTACGTTTTGTCGTCCTGTTCATATTGTCGCCGGCGACAATGTGTACCTACCCTCACTGCGCATATTGTCGTTTTTCAGAACATGTCGCAAGACAATGCACGGCAAAGCTCCATTTAAATATGATTAATCATTGTTTTCCTGTTTTTGAGAAGATAATTTTTAAAGAATTTTCCCATATATTTCTATGTACTTTGATCGCCCATTGTGGTCCCACCCTAGTCCCGGTTTAAAGATACGCGAGTCTTCGCTACCTGAGGATGCTTCCATATAAACATCACTAATCAAGGGTCAACTGCTGTTTCTCAGTGGTAGATCCAGAAATTTCAGAATGATGCCTATACTTGGCACTCAGGGTCATGGAGCAGTGAGGGATCTTTCTCGTGTCATCTTGCACATCAAAATTAAAAGTACGCTATGTAGTGAAGTTTTCACATAAGTATCATCTCTTCTGACCCAGTATTTCTTGGGAAAAAAAAGATTTTGAAAGATCTGAATAAAACTGAATCTACACTTCATAATGAAGCTTTCACATAAGTTTCAACATTTTGACAAAGTGGTTCTTTAGAAGATTTTTTTAAAAAGATGTCACTAAATTATCACTAATTCTTATCGACTTCCCTTGAAATAGGACTTGGTCCTTCATTTGAACAAACTTGAATCCCCTTATCCATGGCTGCTTTGTCGCAAGATTGGTTGGAATTGATCCAGTAGTTCTTGACAAGAAGCTGAAACTGAAAAGTTTACAGACGAAAGGGACAGTCAGACAAAATGTGATCAGAAAAGCTCACTTGAATTTCCAGTTCAGGTGATCTAAAAGTATCAACCCCAACACCAATTATAACGGCACCTGACTGTATAAGAATAACGCCAAAATTGATTTCCAAATAATCAATACTACTGAACAAAAAACACTAATACATGTATTCAATCTCCAAGTATAAAGTACAAGAAAAAAAGAATAGGCTTATTTTTCAGATATCTCAAGAATTACGGAATCTTTGACCAATCATAGTGAAGTACATCAATCCTGGACACAATTTTCTGACCAAAACGTTTTCTCCCTATAGTATTGCTAGTAATGCTGTCTGTCTCCCTTCGTGCGTATGTGTGTGTTTGTCAACCTCTCTTTCCTTACTCAAGTAAATATTCGTCAAAACACTATATCGACGACATTATGTGCTGACCTTGACTATACATATTGTCGCCAACGACAATATGTGCTGGTGCTTGACTGTACATTTTGTCGTCCATTATGCAGAAGAAAATAAGGCTTGTCTCGGCACATATTGTCGCCGGCGACAATGTGTACCGTGAGGTAGGTACATATCGACAATATGTGCCGTGAGGTAGGTACATATTGTCGTCGACGACAATATGTACAAAACGACAATATGTCACAGCATGTGTAGTCAATGATTTAATATCATTTGGCCTATCATACCGAAAAATAGTAGAATAGTCTAAATTTAATTCAACAAACGGATACAATTTATTACCAAAGATGAAAATTGTGAATGAAGACAGCAGTCGTTGTACAGATATCGTAGTTTTCCAAACAAGAAAGAAAAACAAAATTTAAAAAAATTGGAAGAAAAGATATAAAATAAATTTTAAAAATATGAAGCACGTGTTCATGGATAAAAATAAATTTAAAAACAAATACTTAAACGAACTGGTTTTTTTTTTTTTTTGGGGGGGGGGGGGGAGGGGAAGGTAATTGCACGAGGTGTTCTAGGTGTCCAAGTTTCACGCGTTCAAAAAAATCGTTTGAAATAACGAGATAAAAGTATTCATTAAAGATTTTACGAGCGTAAATGATATATAAAGATAGTTTAAAGACTTTTTTAAAATAGTTGAGTTAGTGGCTTAAAGATGACTTAATGGTGGCACAAAAAAGTTTGGACATTAAGTACCTATAGGCTGCAGCTAAAACGTCGCTTAATGGTGGCTTAAAGAACTTAATTTTAAGCCACCTTTAAGCCCTCTGTAAGAAATTGCTTCAAGATGGTCTCTCGTTTTGTTAAATTTTCAACACTTTTTATTTAAGTACTTGTCATTGAACAAATAATATAGATTTCACTAACATTCCACTGAGACAAAAGCATTTAAAATACACTTTTGAAAGTACTCAATAGCTTACATTAGACGTTTGTTTGCCATTTCTCTGTAAGTTTGTCGACCAACTCTTTAAATTCAACGTACAATAATCCTGCAATGAGACTTCGTCTGGACGGTTTTACTTTGGACTCTCCCCATTTCGATAAAGTCACTAATGCTATGACATCCGGCGGAGATCCTTTAAGTTCAAGTTCACATTCTTCAATAAACCTTTGCGGGATCTGCAGAAATCTGAGTAACCGCTTGATATATTTCACTTTCTTTGACACAATCACAAGATCCTCGTCTGAGATATGTTTGTCTGGATTTGGAATATTTATCAAGGAGGCAGATTCCCAAAACTTGTGAAATGTAAAGCATTTCATCTCCTCAATAATGTCCTGTCGCTCGAAATCACCAAAAGCTTGCATAAGTTGGTGGATATTTTGCGGTAGAGAGTGGATTGTCTGCCAGTTGTAGAGAATGCTAAAGGCCAATTCATGTGTGCTTGAATATTCATGGCGTTGTTTTTCGACAAATGTTACACCAAATCCAAGAGCAGCAGATAAGAACACACACTCACTTCCAGAGACTTTGCTGGCAATATAGTCCAGGAAGCACTCAGCATTTTCTAAAAATTCAGTGTCAATTTAGATTTGAAAAACATATACTGCAAAAGCATAACTTTTTTTATTATCCTATTTATCAGCTATGACAGAAGCGATTCCGCTAAATCAAGTACATTGCTTAATGCCTTGCATGCATATATTTATGTACTATTCATTCAGAAACCTTTAAGTCAAATCTATTCTTTATTTGGTGTAAAATCACTTTGTGCAAAATATTTTGCAACTAAATATAACACATTTACAGTGATTTTCCACTCAGTGTTATGAATGAATATTCTCTTTTGTTTGGAAAAAAAATTTACCTTTTAATGCTATGCAAGGATAGGGTTGGATGTCTGCCGTATTGACGAAAGGGCCATTTTCTTCTTTGAATTCCTGGAAAATAATGAAATGCTCTGAATATTAAAGGTAAATTAAAGATTCTGTTATTCAAATGTATATTAATTTTGTCTGTGGCTTGCATTGTCACCAGTACTTAATAGTTCCGTTTTAACAATAAAAATCAGACAAATAAAAATAAAAGTAATTTTTAAAATGTTACCTTTGATCCAAAGATTTCTTCCAAAGTTTCAACACTACAAAGATATTCTCCGTGAATCGGGCATCTGAAACATTCTAATTCATGGAAATCACCTTTACTGATATAACATTGCGATATTCTACATCCTTGACATCGCACCTCAAAAGGTAAGTCGGATTGTCTCACCGAGACATTTTGGAACGCGCTGTAAATCTTCATTAGATCTTTTAGGCAGTCTAACGTAATGCTATACACCATACGAAAAGATTTTATGTCTGCTGCTCTGCCTCTTCGGTCACATATGTATGTAAATATCTCGATTTCATATCCTTGTTTGTGGAGAATGGTCCATCTACTTCTAGAGAGTTCAAAAATGGCACAGTTGCTGAACAGTTGTGTAGATGATTGTGAGGAGCTTTCAAACATCGAAAGAAATGCTGTCACCATTCTATTGTAAATTGCAGGTGGCAGAAAATTATTCTTGAATGAGATCTTGAAAGATACCAGTCCAACTTCTGTCGAGGAGTGGATATCACTGATTATCTTTTCGGGACACTTTTCTTTCACCATTCCTGGAACATAGAAGAAATCTCTGTGTTTGCTCCTTGTGATCAAATCTAGTCTACAAAGGACATCGAGTAAATAATCCTTGAAAGGATAGAAATTAGAGTTCTTCCAAACTTCATCTATGAGATTCATCCTCAGTTGCCCACATTCCCTTAAATTATTCCATCCTAATGACCTTTGATTAATATCATAACACAAAATTCTTTCATCAGTGATAAAAGAAGACAATGCATCGATCACCCAGCTAGGATCCAGAATGATGTTTTCATTGAGAAAGCTGTCTTTGAAATAAAGAATTTTGCTAACTGATTGTTGAAATGTCAAAAAGTCTTCAATTTCTTGTCGCTTAAAATAAAATTCATCCTCTAACATCGATTGTAGTTTATTAACAGAAACAATTTTGCATCCACAAGATCTCAAATCAGCAACGATGTTTTCTAAAACAATCCATTTGTGTGGAATGGGTAATCCCCAGTCCGGTAAAGATTCCGCTATCTCCATGACACACTGACGTAGAAGGTCAAAGGGCACACTTTCAGCATCTCTAGCATCAAGGAAATGTCGAGGACTGATGATTAAATGTTGTCTCTGAACACTTCTCCGAAAGTATTTCTCAAGCTTCTGGAAAATCATCCATAAGATCTTCCCTTTTTCTTCCTATAGAGTGTGATACAGTACAAGTGTGATTTGCAACACAAAGGCTATAGATAATTTATGGTGTGCAAATAAATACAACAGGCATGATTTTTAATATATAAATTCAAATCGTCAAAATAGAAAGTTTAAGTACCACGGGAATAATTTAATTAATGTGTACGCTTATGTAGTATTGTTTTTTTTTCCTCATCATACTATTTATTTTGAACATAATAATTCTTTTAGTGTGTTTTAGAATATTGTGGAAAATTTTTTAATCAATGTTAACGGATGGTTTGCGTAATATACGTACTACAGGAAAGCAGTCAGCATGTGTTCCTATAAGAACAATTTTAGGATACCCTGGAACAGCATGTCTTGCATACGTAACAACAGAGTTTATCCAAAAGGTGATGGTGTCTAAAATGTAAAAATTAAGAGGATAAGTCAAATTTTCATATTTTTGTTCTTTTAACTTTCCAACTGCGCATTCAATAAGATCTTTGGAAATACAAAAGATTAAAATAATTTTATACCCAGTGTGGTGTTGGATCTTTTGTTGGAATCCGCTTCCTGCCAAAACTCAAACAAGTTGAATGCCATCATATAGATACAGTTGGCAGAAAGAAAGGTTTGATGAGTTGTGTAAAATACTTCTTGTCCTCCAAAATCCCAAATCGTTATTGGAACAAGTCTCTCGATTCTTTCTTCTGATGAAGGAACCTTTGCTCTGGAGACAAGAGTACTGACATGCGTTGATTTACATGACGAAATTGAACCTGATGCCTCAGGATTAATTAAAGATTCCACATTTCTAGTAATAAGAGACACAGAAGTAGTTTCCGATGATATGTTTTCACTCATTATGGTTGTTGTACCCATAGTATAATGAAAAGACCCGCAAGAGTTTTCCTGATTTAAAGACGAATTCTCCATTTTTGAATTTTCCAGAGCGGTCCCAAAATATTTCATTGCCCCAGATGAATCATCTTTTGTTTCTTTTTCTTTATTTCCTTTCACTTTTTCAAAATAATCCTGTTCTTTTATGACACTTGTTGAGGACTGAGTATGTAATAAGGGTCCGCTTACTTCATCTTTTACAGTCGAGTCTTGTGTAAGATGTGGTAGTTGTGTTTCAAGAGATTCTACCGGAACCTTCCCTGAACATTGAACAGGCTTAGCCTTTAAGGACATTTGAATTAAACCTCCTATTCTTTGATTCAGAACTTGTTCACTGATATCTGAGAGAAAGAAAAATCCAGATTTCGACTTAAACAATCAAAAATTTATAAACAATTGAATTCATTGCTTTTAAAGTATGAGAGATTCAAGAAGTGGTCATGAAACTGTATGTTTATTTTTTTTTTTTAAATTTAAAAGTTGACTTTTGATAATTTAAAAACAGTGAAAAAGCTAGATTTACATGAACCAATATATACACCTTTTGAAACTGGATAAATTTGTCTGGATTGCCTGTCGTATTTACATCTATGCAGATGTAGGTCTATGCCGTTCGTGCTGTCTGGAATTGCATTTGGGTCGAGTTCTCCAAGGATACCTTTGGTAAGGGTTGTTTTCCCAACACCTGCTTGACCAATAAACATCAGATTTATTTCGTAATAGTCCTCTGATCCTTGTCGCAGATACTCCCGAAACCTCTCCTCTACTTCCTCTCCATAGTCTCGAAGGAGGCTACGTTCTTCTGTTTTATACCGAGGATACATGTTATACAATTATATTTGTAATTTTTGATCCGAATATTTTTACTATGTTCGGGCACATTATATATTTCTTTATTCTAATGCAGGGAAATAAATTTTGACGTTCCTTGAAAAATAATACCCTTACATTTCTTCAATTTTGTATTTAACTTCCTGTATGAGGCATACCGATTTTACGATATGTTGTAAAACATTTTCAATACTTTTTGACTTACCTACAATTTTTATAAGTAAACTTTCATATGTTTTAGTTTAAACTGACCGCTAATTTTAAGGATTTGACCTATTCATCTATCCATATTCTAAGTGTCTTGGAAAATGTCACATATTTTGTCTAAAAACATTTCATCTGGAAAGCTCAATAATTGAGAATGATAAACATTACTAAAGTGTTGCTCATACCTTTATTGTCTTTAGCTTTCTGAAACAGAGGAAACGATAAAATTGCCAAGTAATATGTGAACTATATAAATTAGTTTTCATTGACGAGTCCTAATATTGAAATCCGTTTACATTAAATGAGAAATTCATCTTTCCATACAACACATATTTATAAATGGGCTATTTATTGGAATTGAAGTTGGTTTACAGTAAGAAAAGAGTAACAAATATGACTCTTTTAAAAGGTAACGTAAACGTCTACCTTTATCATACACAATTATGGTTATTTTTACCTTTAAGGTACTTTCAAGAAGAGCTAATGTCCTGTACAAAGGTTCCGCTGCCTCTGTCAATCCTTCATCTTTTTTCTCTTCAATCTTTCTCTTGACTAAATCTAATGGTGTGTGGCGTGCCTAAAATTTATGAAATTGTTTATGCAAATAATTCTGCCATAGAGTCAGGAGTAACCTTTTTTTTTATTTTGGCTCGCAAACGTACTAGTATGTCTTTCTAAAGTATATGTGGATGTTGAACGCTTGCCATCCAAATCTTTATTATAATCCTTTTCTTTGATTCTTTGTGTAAGAATAAATAATTAGATTAATATCAAATACACTTTTTTATTTTTTGGATACTACATAAATAAATACCTTATCCAAAGCATCAGTCGTGGCATTTTCTAGGATGAGGAACTGAGTGGTTTTGAAATCTCCGTTCATAGCAGCAACATGTAAAGGGGTCCGTCCATCCTAATTAAAATTAGTTCATCAAAATAAACATAAGGATTTTCCCATAATTGCTACTATAGGCTGGTGTCAATATTAACAATGAAATTTGTTAACCTGAAATTTTAACCATTCAATACATCAAATTTCAAAAATGTATAATAAAAAAAAAAAAAATTCATTAGGCCTACCCTGTTTTTAGCATCCACAGTGGCCCCTGATCGAAGTAAGTTTTGGATGATCACCCTATTCCCAATGTTGGCTGCCATATGTAATGCAGTAAGACCATCCTAAAATTCCTTGTATTTATTATTATGTCTTTTAGAAAAGCCATAGCATTGTGCAAAGGCTTTCCTCACCTGTTACAATATTTTGGAGTAACTTAATTCAGGTAACTTAATTAGGTGGGACAATTTAATAACAAAAATAATTTATACAACTATGTAGTTTTTTAACAAAATAAAAATGTTTCTCACAGACAACCGAGTCTAGTTCACTTACGCCATCCTCTTGGTTTACATTGGCCCCGACCTTCAAAAGGACATCAACTGCTATTGGTTTCCCCATTAAAGAGGCACGGTGTAATGCTGTTGCCTTAAACTATAAATATATGATTGAAATGGGAAAATGAGCCATAGGAGACACTTATTAATAATGCAATAATTTGATAATTATTTCAAATATTTTGCTTATCAAAAACACACACACTTTTATCCTGAAAACGCTTTATAACATTATTTAAACATTAACCAGCATCAAATTTTAATGCTTTTTGTGTTCAATTTGATTAAGGATAAACACCTTTTTAACTACCATGTTGTGTCTTCAGACAAAATTTAAAGATAAATGATCATTTTAAAAACAAGACACACATCTTTAAAAATGAAAGAGTGAGTTGAATCTGCTTGTAGAAGAAATCATTCTACAAGGATGTCATACATTTACTGGATAAGATGCCACATTGTTTTGAATCATAATGAATGTGCTTATTTTGACCCATGACGTAATTTCAACAAAACAGAGACATAGGAAATGTATGTAAACTCTATGATTCAGTGAGCGGTGACAGATTTAAGTCAATTAAGGATAGACACATTTCACATTATATTTACCTCTTCATAGCTGTTTTTATGACAGTATTTAATACTAACATTACAACTATATATATATTCTGAGTTGATTGAAACAAGGGGTGATGAGAAATCCAAATTTGTATAATGAATGCATATAAACGCATATATACACTGTACGTATTATCATAAATATAATGTTTTGATTTTTTTTCTTTTAATGAAAGTTTTTGGCACAGAAGAAAAAAGAATTATAGAGTTTTCTATCAGATAACTTTCTGAGGGAAAAACTCACCAGGTCTGTAGCAGCATTGACGTTAGCGCCATCTTTCGTCAGTCTTTGTGCCTCCTCGGTATGACCATCCAACGCGGCCAGCCACAATTTCTACATTTAAAACAATGTAATGCAATTAATAATTGTCCTTTCAATTATTTTAGCAAGATATGTTGATGCTACATTCATGGATTCAATTTGAATTTTCATTCCAAAATCCTTCTCATTATATGTTCGGATTCAAAACAAATACATTTCTCATTGAAAAGGACAAAATACCTGTATTACGAAAGATGGCCAAGTGTACTGTGAAGTTACAGGTAAACAGATAAGGTCATGCAATCATCGGCACAAAAAAATGCATTCTCACCTCAAGTAACAGTCCGTTATTGGGTATATCAAAATTATCCATCATGCATTTTGTCAATTTTCGTCCATCATTTAGAATTTCCAAATATTTTATAACTAGTAGTACCGGACGTAAATGCTCGACATTTCTATATTTCATAATACTGATATTTACTTAGGGAGGTTTGGAATTTCCTCAAGCCTATTTCAAATATTTCAGCCGATTTTACGTTGATTAAGTGCTTTTATCTTCAGATTTTGTAAACTTACCTGTTGAATGTCCATTTCATTCCTTTACAACTTGAAAATACCTGTAATTACATAAAGAATTTAAATCTCTCATCATAAGCCATTTTTGTGTCAATTGCTTGGTGATTAAATTCAAACCTCTTTGGTCGTAAAGGTCTTTCAACAAACCATTCTTTATACTTCCTAGTGTCTTTTAATATAATGTGTGTTTAGCATTATTTACAAATATGCTTCACTTTAAACTATAGAAACAACCATACACAAAATAGCCAATAATATTTTGTAATTATTATTATTATTATTTTATTTTTACTATTGGAAAAAAATCGTTAGAAATTATAAGAATCTGTCCTATACATATTAAAATCAATATCATATCGATGCTTCTATAGTTTAAGACAAAAAGTAATTATTCTTTATACATGTAGTGTCCTTTTGACCTTTTGAAAAACATCAACAATTCCTAAAATCATAGTTTTAAAACTAATTACAAGTTTCTGAAATGAGGATTTCATTTCTTATATAAGAAATTACATTTATGGCACTATAGTTGACTAAGTTGTGTTTTAGTTTTTTTCAGTTTTCCAAAAGAATCTTCTTTTTCTCCTTTATGACGCAATATTTGTAACCCTTTTAAAGTTGTTAAGTTAAAAAAAAAAAAAAAAGACTGGTTAGTGCATTCCTAAAAAGAAAAAATGCATTTTTGTTTCTTCTCTTATTTAAATGGAACAACGGTAAAGAAAATAGTTTTTTGTTTTGTTTTTTTTTTTTTTTATTGATGCATCAATTTAGGAATGGGATGTTCAGTTTTTGCCTATTGTTAAGAGTAATTTACATTTTCTCATTTATAAGTGGATGTAAGGAATTTGCAATAAACTTTCATATCAGCACCAGATCGACTCATTTACTAAATTACCTAAAGAGCTTTTTTGAAGAAAAATACAAAAATGTTGATAGTTTTTAAATTCATGTTTGCCAAGACATTAACTTTCCTCTAACCAACTGTGTGAAAAATACCTTGATCTTTTATTCAAAATAGTTAAATGTGTTAGGTCGTTTGTGATAGTTTAAATTCTTTTTAGCCATTTTAATCGAGGCATAATATACCCATATCTATTGAAAAAAGATTTTAACTATGTGATACGATTCAATGTTTCACTCTTTAAGTAGACGCCATATTTACCCCCCCCCCCCACTTTTTTGCAAAGATAGATATATTATTGGGTCTTAGTCCCAAAACTTTTTTGTTGTTGTTGGTTTAGCCCCCCCCCCCTTTTTCAATTAGCCCCCACTCTCGATTTGCTTTTGACGCCTATATGTTATTTTAATATTACAATACAAACCTATTAACTTTTCATCAGATGATGCGATGAACACATTTTGTAAAAATATATAAATCTAGGTTTTTAAACAGAAAAAATGGAAACGTGTAATGACGTTATTTATATTGTATACATTGGTATGTATATCGTACACAGACCTCGTTTAGGAAGTGTAAATATTACTTACTTACTGAATGATGTTTTGATTATACATTATAAACGTAGGTTAACACCACTAAAAACTATTGATTAAATAGAATAAACTACTGGCTTAATACATGTGTCTTTCTGATACAGCTGAAAATAAGTCTATCATGTTTATAATGTCTAAGACCACAAATGTAAACAAAGCTCAACAAATCAAATAAACAACTTACAGCGAAAGGTTATTTCCTGAGCACTATAAATTAAAGTACATGTTTATACTGCGGAGATGTTTTTCTGATTCACCTGTTACTTAACGGAAGTATGAAATAATTTGTATGAGACATAAAATCAAATTTCCAGAAAGTGAATACAACATATCAGAAACAAAGAAGTATAATTACATTGTGTTTCATTACTGTCCCGAGGCATTTTGAAATTCCAGTTGCTATTTTTGCAATATCAGTCTCGTTTGCATAAAAAGGATTAGTTTTGCAATGCTTCACTGAACTTAACGTATTAGAATTTTAACTTCCTTTGCTTTGTCTTTCTCATATTGTAACAAAATATCTTGAAGGTATTTTACTAATTTATATTAATTTCACTACAATACGAAGTATAATGGTAAGAATATGATTCCATTATTGATTTATTCAGTAACAATGACGGGCAAGTATTTACTTTTTAATCTGAATGTTTTGAATCTAAATCTCGGCTTAGTATAACTGATGGTCCAGTGACGAAGAGAAATATTTTAATACTTTTTGTGTCAGTGGCGGGATCCTCGAGATTCAAAAGATTTTTTTCCTTAACATTCAATTGATAAAAGCATGGAAGAAATGGAAATTCAGATCACTGCAATGGAGGAAGAAATTGAGCAAATGAGCAATGATAACTAGTAGTTTAGAGAGAGACTGATGAAAGAATTTGAAATTTAACCCATTAACAAAGAATATAAGTAAGCCACTAATATATTAGCATGATTCTGGATCTTTCTGCTGATTTCACAAAGGATGAAATTTGTAATGAAGAAGAAACCAATAGTGTCAAAAAGTAAAATTCTCAACACAAGTGCAGAGTTGAGAAAATACAGACATTTAGAATTTAAGTTAAAAAAATCAATGAATTGATACTTTTTTTCATCAGAAAAGGAACAATTCATTAGTTGACATTAATTTCGTATTGTTGTGGCAATGGATTTACATATATCCGTTTACCAAATCATGACAAGGAGTACACGGCGAGTATCATTGGTGGACAAGGATGCTTATTTCTTCATGGCACTTAATCCTTTCTCTGATGTTACCAGAGGTTCGTTTTGCTCTGCTCACGATTTGTATTGTTTACTTGGACGTTTGTCTTCAAATTTCATCTGAGTGACATAATCAAGTGAGAACTTTTTCGTACTTGAAATGTAACCTATCCGGTTTCAAAATAAAAGTTAGATTTTGAGTCAATAATCCGCTTCATAGAAAATTAAAATAAATCATGGCTACATGAACTTGCTCAGCTAAAGATTTTTTTTCTTGAGCATCGGAAAAGCTCTACTGAACAAGAATCCAACTTCTATAGTCTTATACGTCTGTTTGCCAGACATCGAAGCCCACTCTGTACAGAAGAAAAAAGAGAAAACGACTTGTGCACAAGAAAAACAATCACTAAGAATACAGACTACAGATAGCTTTTATCTTTAAGCAATAAGGCAGATAAGTCAATCAGGAACAAGAAGGAAATTTGTTGCCACTCGAAAAAGTGGGAATGTTTTTTTTTAAATAAGAAAGTGATTAATTTATTTAATGAAGAATAAATAGAAACTTTTAATTCAATATAGAATGGGAAAAAGTCTAGACTAGCTCAGAGAGTGAGTGCATGTAAGTACACAGCAGATAACTGATCTACGAGTGAATGTTGTTATATGATTGATAAATTATTTTGAGTCTCGATCAGAGTTCAGTAACTGAGGATCCAACGGTGAAGAAAAACACGTCACAAAGTAATATCAACTTTTTACTTATCTTTTTTCTTGGAAATATTCACCAGAACAAAATAAATGTTAATGGAACCTCGGGAACCTTGTACCTCAGGACTATATTTGATAGAAATTAAAACAAAGGAGTAATGTAAAGCATCTGCAAACTGTACTGTAGAAATCTAAGTTGACAAATCAGATCTATCTACTCTGGCCAAACATAATATCTCTGCTTATAATTTTTTTTTTTTAAAGCGAAGGAAATAAAGCACACTTTTTTTCTCTCCTTTTTTTTTTTTTTTTTTCTTTTTTTTTTTTTTTTTTTTGAGTCCCAAAGCTAAATTTTTTCTTTTAATTATTAGAAACAACATATATTCTAGACTTAAAGGGCATTTAAATAAGCAAAATAAATGTTTTCCGGTAAAAGTTTTCATGGATACTACTAGTACATCAGATACATGTATATTAGACCAATTTATTTTTTTATAAAATGAAACTAAGCTAAAAGAAATTAAACTCATGTTGTTGATTGATTAACTGTGGCAATGTCGAAAGATGAAGAGAATCATACTATAGACTGGATCCGGTTGCACGAACGTTAGTTAAATTAACTACCATGCAGTTAGTGCCGTAACTAGCTGTTAAATTTTTAAATTTTAACGACGAGTTACGTAACTGTCGGTTAAAATTTTGTTGTTCGAAAGCCTATTAAAAATAAATTAGCTAACTCACATTTAATTGATGTCTTATAGTTAACTTTCAGTTAAAATCGTTCTACACGCGCGCGTTCCCCGTACCTACGGGCTACGGCGAAGTAAAAATGGCTGCAAGTGTAAAGCGAGAGAGAAGTACCAACTGGTCCTTGGCCGAAATAACTGTTTTAACAGATTTCGTCGAAAAGAACGAAGAAGTTCTTAAAGCCAAACAGAGCAATTTGATAACAAACGCTAAAAAGAACAGGAAATGGGCAGAAGTAACAGATCTGGTCAATGCAGTTGGGGTACAACGCAGGTCGGTAGAACAAGTGAGGTTTAAGTGGGGGAATCTGCAACAGGGGGCTAAGAAGACATTTACAGAGGCCCGTAAACATGCCAGGAAAACAGGCGGTGGACCTCCACCAAAACCCCCTACTGCCGCCGAGGAGAAGATAATTGATTTAATGAAGGACAAGCCAAATTTCTGTGGGATTGCTTCGAGTCATCAATGCCAGGCACAACAGGTATAACAACAAATATAGAATGTAACATGTAAAGAAGTCAATAATTAACTCGAAAATATAACATTTTAGTTATTTAAATTAAAATACTTGTAGTCCACAGACATCAGATGTTCGTATGCTTGTTTACATTAGGCCTATCGGCCGACAAAATGATGACGTCATATTTCAGATTAGCCTATATGTACCTAGGTTTGAACTTACGTTAACTAGATATGAATGCCTATATTGGTGTTTAAAACAGACTGATTTGTTCCAAAGATAATGAAGCGATTTCTTGATCCTAGTAAACCCTTTAACTGGAATTTCATTAGCAAATCATAAAATTCTTACTTGCTACAGCTGCATAGATGATCACATGCTTCCACCATGCTATCCTTTAAGTGCTCAATCATGGCACATGTATAAAATCCATGGATAAAATGTATCAGTAATGCAGTTGAATCTGTAGAACGCAAAACAGTATAATCCTTTCACTCAACCTTGTTGGGACCGTGGGTTTTCGACGATGTGGAAACTCATTCACAATGCATTGCGTTTGCGAACATGACGTCACAAATGGGGCACTAATAGGGTGTTAGATGCGTTACTCAGAGAGAGAGAGAGTAGACTCTACTCTAAAAGATGGAAGAACACACTGCATAGCATTACAAAGATCTAGCTCAGATTGCGGAACATTAATTTCAAACTATTCTGGAATTGAAATTACATCTTGATTTATTGTGCGTAATAAAATATCTTAGGTGGATTTGAAATACAATCCAATGTGATCTTGTTTATCAAAATTCTGAGTTGGACCTTTTTTGAGTGGGTGTGCACACACCCCACCCCCTTGGGAAAAAAATCGTAGATCCACGCATGCACTCGTACACATATACATGTAGTGGATATAATCATAAATGTTCAAATTCATTCCATGTACTCTCAGTATCTTTGTACACTCTATATTATGCCGTGAGATATTTATTACTTTATACAAAGATACGACTCAGATTGCAAAACAGTTTCAAACTATTCGGGAATTGAAATTACGTCTTGGTCTATCGTATTGGAATATCTTAGCGGGTGGATTAAAAAAAATCAACTTCGAACTGGAATTACAATCCAATGTGTTCCCAGACTTCCGCATAGAATTGTATTGAGGATAATCCTGTTAAAAAATCTCAGACGTGTACATGTATAAATACATGATTTGTGAGATCGAAAATTGTACGTCCCGTCATTTGTAACTAAAAATATGGGGTGTAATGTGAGATGTGCCTGCAATGTAGAGAGAAATCTTCGAAAATTAGAGACTTAGAACGGACAGACCTCGAGAAGAAGAACATTCAACTACAAAACGCCAAGCTGGCGCTACAGATTGAATGCCTGAAGCAGACTGTCTCTCAGAATGAAAATGCTCTACTAGCACTCCACGCAATTACCGATGAATAAAATGATATATATAATAACTGTGTATAATAATAAATATCATATAATCACATCATTAACATATAAAAGGTTTCATTCAGAAATTTATTTCTGTTAATTCAAATTAGAAATAGGTTCTGGTGATAAAGTTTCTGATTGCTCTTACATCCTCAGGTCCACGATAAGCCAAATGAATAGAGGGGTCGTTATCTTGTTCATCCTCATCCTCCATCTCTTCCTTAAGAGACAATGCAATATTATGCAGAATTGCACATGCACCAATTATTCTGCAGACTTTTGCAGGCTTCATTTTAATTTCACTATGCAGGACATGGAACCTTCTTTTCCACCACCCAAAAACTCGGTCAATGGTATAAAATAATTTCGTGTGCGACAATGGGCTGCATTAAAGGCTTCCTCGGAAGGCCTCGCAGGGTGGAGATACGGGGTAATGAGAAACCTGGAACAAGCATAGCCGCTATCACCAAGAAGATAGCCGTCCTCAACACCATGATGGTTTCCTTCTAAGAATAAGCAGACGTCAGACGTCCGAAAAATATGACTATCGTGGGTACTGCCAGGCCACCGTGCATTGATGTTTATAAATTTCCCTGAATATAAAATGAATTGTATAGATTATTACGTTTTCAAGGAGAGTTCAAAATATAGTATG